CTGCTGATTAAACCAGTTCAWCACAGGGGGAATATTTACACAGCTCCAGGAACCCTGTGGGGAGTGGGACAGCCCTGGAATTCTGCTARGAGATGGCTCCATAAAGGCTCTAGAATTCCTGGTTATTCTGCAGCTGCCTCCACAGAGCTCTGCCTCTCTGTGTGCAGAGCTGGATGCTGAGAACAAATCAGCTCCAAGGTGTTTCATTAGTAAGGACCAGTTTTAACCCCAGCCTAATTAAYAGACTTCATAATTTATTGTTTCGTCATTTGGTCCAGCTCAGCATCCATGGGATTTCTAGGGATGTGAAGTGTGGAAACCTGTCCTGACAGAAAAAAAAGAGAGAGGCTTGTAGGAAACAATGGTTGTCTTGTGGGAAGATTTTAAATATATGCAGCTGATCCCATGGGAACTGCTGTAGTCTATTCACCCTGTGTGAAAATGATGCTCTCTCAATATAATCTTTAATCCTTTTCTTTCACTCAAAAATGTGAGAACTTTATTTCCAAGTTTTGAAAGAATGCTCCAGTTTAGGGAGTAAATGCTTTCCAAGCATAAAAATAAAACAAATTGTTATTGGTGCAACACAGAGGGGAAAGGTTCTCTGAAATATCTTATAATATTCTGGCCATGAATTGCATATGTGAATGTTCTTGGGAAATGCATCCAGGYTTTTTTTTTTCCTGCCCTGGGTGGGTGCAGGGGGAAAGGAAGTATCCAGCAGTCTTGGCAATTTTACAAACTTCTGTAACTCTTTGAGACAGCAATTCCACAAAATAAATTATCCCTGTGAGATGGGAAAGAAGAATTTGAAGAGAAGGGAATTCTACCTGAAATTCCAAGTTTTCTTTGAAGATTATTCCAATCTTTCTGCTATTCATGGAAAAGGAAATKAAAAGCAAACATGCAGTTGTTGCAAACATTCATCCTGCTCTGCTCACTCCATGCACGCGTGGATAACACCAGCAGAGCTGCTCTCCTGACCTTCAAGGGCTCAGAAGATTAAACCCTGTTTGGTGACAAACAATCATTCCTGGAGATGCCCTCAGGTGAATTTTACAGTGTGGAAAGGCAAAGGGTCACTAACACGATTTTCGTTCTCTTTTCCTGCAGTGCCTGTCACTCGAGGGACCCACAGCACTCTGTAACCCCGTGGGTGAAGCATGGGAACAGGGCTGCCAGGTAAGGACATGGGCTTTGTGTTTCCTTTTCCTTTTGAAGGACACTCAGAGCTTTGGGCTGCATTGAGATGACCACRGTAAAGCAGCACTTTCCTGTTCCTCCACACAAGTCTCTCCAGTTAAGGGAATTCCCAGATCACTTTCCCATGTCATTTATCCAACACTTTATGTAATGCTCTTTTTTYCCTTTTAGATTTTTAAGATTCCAGRAAATTAGCATTGCCTTGTGTTTATCAAAGAGCTTTGGCACCTGTGGTGCTCAGCCCTCCCATGGGAATTACAAATCCCATGTGGGAGTTGTGCAGGATTTGAGGAGAGCTTTGTGGGGTGTCCCAGAGGATGGGGTCAGGGAGGTGCTGGGTGAACTGGGTTCCCTGCCTGTGCTGGGTGGGGGCTCCCTGTCCTCACTGCAGCTCCAGCAAGGACAAACCAGAATATCCTGGAAGGTTCACTTTACGTGAACTGCAGTGGCTTCCCTAAAATTATTTAAACAGAGGGAAGGCTTTCCTGGTTTGTGTTGCATAGCACAGAACTAAATTAAAAATGTTATTGCACAATTCATTGGAGGTTGGGTTTCTGTTTGCAGTGGGGTAACACACAGAAAATCAAGCAGCTGCATTTAYATTTCAAGTCTTTAGGAAGTTAGGAAAATTATTTTTTTGTAGAATTTCCCTCACTGTAAATGTAAAAAGAATTATCTTCTCCCTTCCTCTTTGGTTTAAAAGATATTTCTTCCTGCCCTTCTAATGTCATTCTGSAGAAGCTGAGCTCCTGATGAACTGYAGGACTCAGCCTTTTAGCTCRAGTTCAATTGGCTTTTGGATGCCTGTAGGTCCAACTGCCCTTTTACATTGAATTTTGATCATTAATCTTCTATTATTGGGGGAATTATTTTGCAAACAGACCAATTCCATAGCTTCAAGCTCTGAAACGTGTCAGGCTGGCTTTTATTCTGATTGCTTCTGATAAGGAGCTTTGGTAAGAATGCTGTGCCTGCAGCGAGTGGAGAGACTCACCTTGGAGGGGAACAGCTTCAAGGTCCCAGTGAAGGGGTGGCTCTTTCAGCTTGGCATGAAAAGGSAAATGAGGAGTTGAAAATCAGATCAAACCTTGGGATTCATGTGGAACTGCACCAGAACCAGTGGAAATGGTTTGTGTTATAAGCTGAGGGGTTTTTCTTGCACAATGATGGCTTGAAGTTTGTTCTGAGCTCTGGAGCTCTGCTTTGTTCCCCACGTGTTGGCCTTGGAAAGGTGTGGATTCCTGCTGGGGATCCCCTCAGATGCAATGTCAGGGGGATCCATGCAGGATGGGCAAGCTTTGCCAAAACCCTTGCCTTTTCCATTCCTCCTGCACGTGGGGCACAAATGCAGTGAGTGAGAAAGCACTGATGGGTGGTGGAGTCAGGGTGATGTGGATTCACGGAGATGAGACAGCTTAGTAACTACACTCTGAATTTTATCATCCAACTTGACCCTCTAAAAAAGAAAATAATTTWRAAATTAYMTTTTATAAGACACATGATTTGTTTTCCCTCTTCCCTAGTGCCTGCTGCCTATTAATAGCAAATCTTGTCGTGAGCAAGGAGATGCTTAAGGAACAATTCTCTTTAATGCCTATGCAGAGAAAGTATTTTCAGCACTGTTACACAATGTAAGCATTAAGAGGATTTGCTATAATTCCATTTCAGAGAGCTCACAATGAAGAAATAAATGTTTTTCTGCATTATCCTGAGCGCTGTCTATAAAACTGATGTACAAGAGCCTGTTCAGGTAGAGCTCAGGACCTCCCTCTGCAGGAGCATGGACAGGGAAGGAGGATTTGGAAAAGGCCAAGGATCAGGGAATATCCTGAGCTGGGAGGGACTGGTGAGGATGATGAAGGCAGGGGCTGCTGTGTTTCACAGGGAGAGCTCCATGGACATTCCCTCCTGGAGCACTTGGCTATGTGGTGTGGGCACATTTTGTTGTGCTGTTTCTGACAGTCCCGTTAAAAGTCCAAGCAAAGCTCAGACCCTCTTTTGTGCTCATGTAAAGCTGCAGAGCGACAGCCTTTATTCCTCTGGCCAGGAAATCTCCTCTCCAGCAAGGCTGGTCCCTTGTTCTCTTTCTTTGCAGCAGTGTGAGCTTACCGCGGGCTCTTTCCCCTCCTTCCCGGGGAAGGATAGCTTTCCACTAACACAGGGAGTTCTGTTTTCTCTATTAAAAACAACTGCCCTCAAGTGGAGCAGGCTTTGTATTTTGCCCTGGAACAGAGCAGCTCATTCAGAGATAAGGCCCCGCTGCWTTCGGGTTCCCTCAGTCACCTGACGGGGCCGCGGTAACTTTTAGGCTGCTTTAGTCTGCATTCCTGGCGTGCTTTCCCCGTGGCACCGCAGGCAGCAGCTCTGGGATCCCTGCTTGCCACCCTGCCCGACTCTCTGCTCCCTGGGCCCTGGATGCTGCCAGGAGGAACAGGGCAGCCTTTGGTCCTGGAGCCACCCCTGAGGATGGCCTGGGGGAGTCCTGAGCAGGTAAAAACTCTGTGTCTGTGGCTTTTTGAACTTGTCTTGGTGAACTTGGCTGAGTGTGGGCAGGGTGTGAGTGTCTGAGCTCTCACCATCCCTTTGGCTCAGTGCTGGGGTTTGATGCCATTGGGACTGGCAGGAGGATCCAGCCCCGTGTGCTTTGGGGTTTGCAATATCTCAGCTCCTTTCTGCTCCTGCCCAGTGGGATTGGGGCTCCAGCAGATGGAACTGACAGAGGTGGAGGATTGGAGCAGCCCTGAATTGTGGCACGATCAGGTGCCAGGTACTGTCTGTGCTATTCAAACAGAGATTGTTCCAGGGGGGTGTTTCTAGAAGGTTCTTGTGGTTTGCATTTTTCTTGCCCCTTCTGTGGATGTCCCACCCTGGCAGTGCTCAAAGCCAGGCTGGACCAGGCCTTGGGCAACCTGGGCTARTGGGAGGGGTSCCTGCCCATGGCAGGGGCTTGGGGCTGGATGGGCTTTAAGATCCATTCTAATCCCTCAAAGTTCTGTGATTCTGTGATGTATTTGACCTTTTTTTCTCCCTGCAAAACAGCATGAAATCGAGTAATGGGGGTTAAGGGTTCTCCTTGTCTCAGATAATAACTGTGAGTGATATATCTTGTGGCTTTTTTTGTCAACTCAAGAGAAGTATCCAGAGGAGCCAACATCCCGAGTGAATCCATGTGGGATCCAACTCTGAGCAGAGCTTTAGGACCCAAGTGCAGGACCCGTCCCCATGTGAGAGCCTGGCCCTGCTTGGCTCAGCCTCTGCTCCACTCCCCAGCCATGGAGAAGTGCAGAGTTTCACCTCAGCCAAGGCTTTGTTTTACAAGAGTTTTAAAGACCCCAGGGATCATTTTGGCAACAAAAGTGATTGTTTCTTCTAAACAAAARTCATTATCTTCTCAATCTTGGTAATAATGCTTTTYTGGAGTCAAGAYGMARCAACCCAGCAAACAAAGGAAGAGGYTTCACCCTCCTCCTCCTCCWGCTCTGCTCCTGACCAGGGAAAGGCCTTTGGAACCCTTAGCAGCTGCTCCAGTCACCAGCCTCCTCAAAGTGCATTGAAAGGAAGAGAACCTTGGTTTCAGTTATTATGTGTTTTTTAATCTAATTTAAAGCTATTTAGTGTTTGAAGGTACAAATTCACCCAGTTCATGAATGTGCTTAAGGATGTCCCTGGGTCAGGGGGTCCTGTCTGATGCTTTCACACACATTGCAAAATCCTTGCTAAACTGGAATATGTCAATCAAAGCACTTGGTAATTTTCTCTTTTTTTCCCCTCTTTTAGGCTGGGACCAAGAAAGCCTTGAAGTACAGTTCAGATTTATCCTTCACACCCAACTGATCACTCCAGGCCAGGACTGCTCCCGTTTTCTCCCCAGCTGAGTGTCCATGCCCATGGTGCCTGCTGAGGTTGACTGAGCGGGGCCATGCATCATCTCTTCGGGCTGGTTTTGGCACAGAAGGACCTCTCCCGGGCCGGGGATCTCTTCTCCCTGGAGGATGCTGAGATCGAAGGAAGCCTCTCTGAAGCTCTTGAGCAGATCCGAATCATTAGCTCAGCTGCAGTGAGTGAAACATTGTCCTTATTAGATTTTTTAAAATGCGATTATATTGTATAAATGAGATGGGGGATAGAAACAATTTAAATTTCTGAACAGACTCAAAGAGCATAGTGTAAGATCTAAAAATGTGGTAACAAAATCCAGTTCCCACCAGCTGGTTTTCCTTCAAGGTATTTCAAGTTCATAAGATCTAAAAATGTAGTAACAAAATCCAGTTCCCACCAGCTGGTTTTCCTTCAAGGTATTTCAAGTTCATAAGATCTAAAAATGTAGTAACATAATCCAGTTCCCACCAGCTGGTTTTCCTTCAAGGTATTTCAAGTTTATCTTTATAATAATTTTTATTCAATAGTTATTTAAAGCATATTAAAGATTAACATGAGTTTACAGGGCTCCATACCTTCAGAGTAATGAGAATTAAGACCTGTGGGGTGACAAATTCCTGATCATGCTGAGCATTTGTTGTAAAGGTGKATGTGGGAAAATGGCTTGAGGTTGCTACAAAAACTTGATTTTTTGGGGTCCTTGCAAACGAATYCATTGGCAAATGTCTTGTGCTGTGCCCCAGGACTACCAGACCAACGACAACGACCAGGCRGTGGTGGAGATCTGCGTCACGCGCATCACCACGGCCATCCGCGAGACCTCCTCCATCGAGAGGCACGGCAAAGCCCTGGTGGAGCTCTGGGAGTCCTGCCTGGAGCACAACCTGAAGCCCTCGGGGAAAGATGAGGATGCYCCCCACGCCAAAATTGCATCTGACATCATGAGCTGTATCCTGCAGGTAAAGGTGGGCTGAAAGCCGAGAGCCCCGTGCATCCATTGCTGATGAATTGTATTTTCTCTTGAAAATCTGTTTACTTCTCCTTTTGGAGTGGTTACATTTAAACTCAGGGCTTGGGGARCTGAGCTGTTACTGATTCCTCCTGCCTTCATTGCAATGAAATGAGGGAGCTGATGGAGTGATGGAGTGGTTTAGGATGGAAGGAGCTGAACCCCACCCAGTGCCAGCCCTGCCATGGCAGGGACACCTCCCACTGTCCCTGGGTGCCCCATCCAACCTGGYCTGGGACACTGCCAGGGATCCAGGGGCAGCCACAGCTTTGTTACAAAAGTGCATTTACTGCTCCTTGTAACAGAGCTTTTCTTGGCAAGTCCTTCTGCATAAAAAAAAAAAATATATAAAATGATGTTTTCTAGCAGATGTGGGGGATAGTTGGAACAGTAATGAATATCTGCCAGCTGGGYTGGATCTCAGGCAGGTCTCTGTTGATAGCAGCAGCAGGGAGGTCCCCAAGGTTTGCAGACGTCACTGGATCACTTTATTGAAATCTGCTCTTCATTGTCACCTCCACGTTTTCGAAGTGTGCCTTCCTGCCCTGATGTTTATCATGGAACAAATGGAACCTTTCTCCTTCCCTCTGAATTCAAACCTTTTCCTAACTAAGGATTTTATTTTTATTGTAAGGGAGGGGGTGGGGAGGAAGAATTGTTCTTTGGAATTTTCTTAGATCTTTTAAATCCTAGTCATATAAATCCTAGTCATAGAGCCAAGCCTTATCTTCCCATCCTTTGTGTGGAGTAGCAGAGCAAGAAGTTGGAGCAGCATTTGGCTTCTGCCCACTGGTGTCTCAGCCAAACATAACGAGGCATWATGTTGATTTAAACATGCTGCTGCAGAAAGCTCCATTTATTTCAAGGGCTTTTCTCATTAAAGATGCAGCTTTTGGTCATATGGCAGCTGCCAGAATTATCTGTCTTGACACCAAGGAGTGGCTGCAGCCCCTTTAGGGGTCTCTGGAAAGGACTGACCACTTCTTGGCAAGTGTCTGTTCCAAGGAAAAATCCTCAGAGCCCCTCAAACCCTGTGGAATAACAGATTTGGGGTTTCTCAGTCTAAATTTGTTCTACTCTGAGCTGCTCCAAAATGAAAGTCCAGAAAGTCCTCTCTGCCTTCCTTTGCACTGTTTTGTTGCTGTTGAAACATCTGGGTTCCAGGGGTTGCCTGGGGTTTCAGCTGCTAATTAACCATAATMCCATTGCAGGATTATTTTCAGAAAGAGGGATGTGCTCCAGTTCCAAAGAGCTGCTCGAACTGAGTGGAGAGGAGAGGGGAGCTGGTTAAGGAGGCTCCAGAGGGAATGTGGGTCCCCAGTTACACACCCCAGTGTATCCCACTGCCTCCAAGGGCAGCTGTGTGGGAATTGAACAGGCAATGGATGTGTGTGGTTTGTACACACAGCTTTCTGTGTAAATAATAGCAGAAAACCTTTTCTGACCTCGATTCGAAACCCAAGTGTGCACTGAGGGACCCTGAGATTCCTGAAGCTTGGAGCCATTTTAGGAAGAGGAGCTTGCAGTCATGAAAAAATTCATAGTTTAGAGAAATTAGATGAAGCTCCCCAATTTTGTGGCTGCCCCTGGATCCCTGGCAGTGCCCAAGGCCAGGCTGGACATTGGGGCTGGAGCAGCCTGGGACAGTGGGAGGTGTCCCTKCCATGGCAGGGCTGGAAAGAGTTGAGCTTTAAGGTCCTTTCCAACCCAAACCCTTCTGGAATTCTGTCAGTTTAAATAGAAAAAGTAATGTTAATTATTACAGGATAATTAATGATCAGTAGTAAAGCTGCTACACTGTGAGCAAGTCTCCCAGTGCCCTGGGAGTGGCTGCTCCAAGGTGTTTCCTACACTTTGGGACGATGGATGCAGCTTCTTTCTTCTCTGGGGCACCAAACACAAACTGTCTCCTGAGAAATGTTTGCATTTAACCTGTGCACTACAGATCATGCATATTTTATTTGTATTTCTTTTTATTTATTTTATGCACTTCCCATACTTTATTAGTGCACTTCTGCTTCCTCTAGCAGAAGACTAAAATAGAGTTATTCTTAACATTTCTTGCTGCATTTGATTTAAATTTCTGTATTTGCTCTTTCTTTGATGCCTGCTCTCACTGGTGGTACCAAAATATGACCTTCCTTGACAGGTTTTCTGCTCTTTTTTCCTTTTTGTTTTGATTTTTGTTTCCCTACTCTGCCCAACATGAGACTTTTCTATTAATACTTTTTTTTTTTTTGCTATTTTTGCAGAATTACAACCGGCCTCCAGTGATGGCCCTGGCGGTGCCGGTGGCAGTGAAATTCCTGCAGAGGGGCAATAAGGAGCTGTGCAGGAACATGTCCAGTTACCTGTCCCTGGCTGCCATTGCTGAGGCAGAGCTGCTGGCTGAGCACACAGAAACCATCCTCAAGAGTGTCCTTCAAGGTAGGAGCACACCAGAGCTTGGCTTTAACCCARGGGCTGACCATGAGATTGGTCAGGCTCATACAGAACCATTATCTTACACAATCYATCAATCATTAAGGGTGGGAAAGGCTCCAGGATCAATCCAACCATTAAACAAATCATGCATGAAAACGTATGGGATGTATCAAGCCCATATGGAAATACCTATAAATGTGATCAAATGTATCAATCACACTCCAAGAGCAGACCTGATCGAGGCAGACGTGAATTTCCTGCCCCTCTGGAGGTTTGGGTATGGATTGGCTGACCCCCAGGGCAGGAAATACATCTGTACTCGTTAATATTCCCTGCTAATGCACTCCAAATTATYAGCCCTGATATGAGGCACCAGCCATGGAGCTCTTATCCTTCCTCTTAGTGTCRCTGGCAAGGCTCCAAAAGAGAGATGGGGATGAAATTAATCCCATTCTGCGGTGGAATAGTCAGATGGAAGATATAAAAGCTTTGTAGTGGTTCTTTAATTTTGCCTATGTTATTAGCTTTATATAGAACAATGTTGCTAATCTCTTTACATTTTATTTTTTGTGGTTTCAARAGCCAAAAGTGTTCATTCCTCTATGAAAGGAAGTCCAATTGAATTGGAGCAATAAAGTTCACAGCATTTGTTGCRATACAGGGCTACTGCAGTGCTAAAATCACTGCTCTCCTTCAAGCAGGGGTGATAGCAGTAAGCAGCAAAAACTGGTTTTTAAAAGAATGCTGTTCTGAGGATGTTGAGCCCTCAAATCAAAGGTGTGCATCCTATATTTATTAATTTATTAATTGTTATATTATTTTAAGGCTTGGCATAAGTTTTTGTGTTCCAGGTGGTAATGCACAGTATTAACTCAGAAAGAAATAGGGAATATATTCATATATAGCCACAGAGTTGGGAAAAGCAATTCCCAGCCCCAAGTGCAGGATTCAGCACGGCTGAGTTTTGTACTTTKGTTCTCCCACCAGCAGATGTTGCTGTGGATATCAGGTTTGGGAGCTCCAGCCTGGAACAGGAGAAATGATTTGTTTTGCGAAGTGACTGAATTACACTGCACGTAATTCGTGTTTCAGGCATGAAGAGCTGGGGCTGCAGCAGGCTGAGAGCTGCCCTCAGTCTGTCTGCTGGAGGGAGAAGGGGAGGAAAAGGGAGGAAAAGCTGCCGAGGATGAATTTCCAAGGCAGTTTTTGGAGACAAAGCCGTGTTGTGGGGCTGCACAGACGGGGCTCAGCCTCGTGGCACCAGGCAGAGCAAACTTTGGCCCCTTGCCTGCGAATGTTGGAGAGGAACTGGAGTTTTTCATTACTTGGGGCAACTCCTTGGCTGCGTAASCGGGTTCTTATCTCATTAGCTCAAAAAGAGCTCTTTGGAAAGAGTTTGCCTGCTCTGCTCCAGGGAGTGAGAGCTGGGAGCGCGTCTGTGCTGACACATCCCGTCAGCACCGCGGGTCACACGGATTTATGGCCCTTCCCAGGGGACAGCAGCAGCTCTGCCCTGTAATCCCAAAGTCCTGGAGCTGCTCCACCTTCCCGAGAAGCTCAGGCATCCTGGGGATGCTGCATCCAGCAGAGCTGGGCTCAGCTTCACGCTCAGCCAGGCTTGGCCTTGTTCCTTCGTTTGTGTTGGTAGAGCAGGAGCGGGATCGCAGGGTCTGTTCCACAACTGGAGCCCAAATTACCCCAAAATCCCATTTCCTCRGTGTTTCCAAGCTGTTGGCAAAGGAAAATAGAGTTGAGTGAGGAAGGAGAGACAGAAGTTGCTGGTGGAGGTGAGCTGGTTGTACTGGGCTGTAGGAAAGCTCTGCTGGTCCTTGGAGGTGAGGAAGGAAAAGGAAATCCTTGGGAAGGGAAATTCTCCATCCGAGTCAGGGAGAATGGAGGGCCTGGCCCTGCCTGTGRTTTCTGCCAATCCTGAGCAGAGATAGGAGCAGGCTCCTTCCAGGACAAAGCATTTCAGGTATGAGCTACAGTATGGAGAGCAGCCAGGGAGGATTTCTGGTGATCTTTCGGAGGATTTTCCTTTTCCTGCTGCATTTCATGGMCATTTGTTTTCACTTAATGGGGTCACTGAGCAGAGAGAGGATTTGAGCATGCTTTTGCCCTTGCACAATGCTGGGACCCCAAGTGTTTCTGTAACTCTGAAAATCYGGTTTTTGGCTGCCAGAGATGAACAGAGGTAATATTTCATCRCTCTGTAGTTCAGGTTATTTGCAGATATCACTTAGCGAGGGATTTTTGTCAAGTTTACTGCCAAGCATTTATAACTTAGATACATTTTTATTGCAGGGTAACAGGAGAAATTCCAGCAATCAGAGCAATTCTTTTCCCCTTAAATAAGCAGCACTGCCAAAACTTTGGAGCAGCTCGTATAACTGTCGCTATGAAGCACAGCCCCCTTGAGTGGCACAGCAAAGTGGAGTTTCCCCTTTTTTACTGCTTTTGTGTCCTGGCAGCGAGGGTTTGTCGTGGTCAAGAATTGGTGTAGCAGCAACACGTCAAGAAATTTGTCAGAGTGTGTTCTCAGGACATCTGTGGAGAATGAGAGAGACAGGGAAATGTGGGAATGGAGAAGGATGGGCTGCTTCCAGGGGAAATAGGAATTGCTTTGAATAAGACATTCCTCATGATAACTTGTTCAGAGGCTTCAACAGCTAGCAAGTGCTGGTTCTTGTTGTAAATGGTTACATATCCAGTGAGGAACAATTCATCRTTCTCTGCTCTGTTTTCTACATGAAATTCATCCCCAGTTTCTTGGCTCTCTGCAGCTGCTGCTTATGCTGTATCCAGCCCTAGGCTTTTAGTGGATTTGGGATAAATTTATGAGGGAGAGGAGAGTYACRGGCAYRGAGCAGYAAYTCTGCCTTGTGCAAASCCCCTGAGGGCAGCAAACAAATCCAAATGTGCCTGAAAACCCATCCCCAGAGGGCCAGGATGGTGCAGGGGGTCTCTCTGCTTCTGTGAGATGTTGCTATTTATGTTTGCTCTATCAGCAGCTAAAACTGCATGGTTCAAAGTTCAAAATGTAGAAAAATTCCCACTTGGGAATTGGTTTGGAATTCTGGTTTATGAGAAGAATGGAGAGTTTTAGTCTCGTAAAGTATCTTTATTTACAAAACAACTTTACAAAAATAATTTCAATAAAATTATCACAAAGTCAATTTACAATATAATACAGCTGCRTTTTCTCCCAAGGTAACATCTGATTATGATGGGGAACATTATTTTTATATCAATCCGTGGCATAAATAATGCTTTAAACAAGGAACTAATTTTCTTAGAGCCTACAAATTACTAACAAYGATTAATAAACAACACATTTCTTGATTTGGGTGGTTCCTCTGTAAAATTCACATTAACTCTGAAGAACCCAAGGACTGGAGGAGCCTGGAGGGATTTGGGTTGGAAGGGACATTAGAGATCACCCAGTGCCACCTGATGCCATGGGCAGGGACACTTTCTACTATCCCAGGGTGCTCCAAGCTCTGTCCAGCCTGGCCTTGGACACTTCCAGGGATCCAGGGGCAGCCACAGCTGCTCTGTCTGATCTCCAAAGCTCAGCAGGGATGTCGGGAGCTCTTTGGCTCCTGAATGTCCATGGTGACCCTCCCTTTATACATCAGAGAGCCCTGCACTGCAGAGACAGGGTTGCCTGACCTCAGGAACAGCTTTTYCCGTGCCATGCCTTGCTGTGTGGGTGATTTTTCAGTGTTTTGCTGGAACAGCAGGCAGAGATGGAATYCCATCTCCACAGTGTGGATCTGTGAGCTTGCAGTGCTGATGTTCCTGGGGAATTGCAGAGGCAGCTCTGCTCACTGTGACACTGAGCCCTTTGAATCGCTCCCCGTGCAGAAAGCAGGATTTAGGACACGTACTGGGCTCCCCCGTAGGGCAGCACCTCCGTCACCCCCCAGCCCACCACATTCCCCCGGCTGCCGCAGGCGTCCCCCGCGCTCTGCGCTGTCACCTCGGCGGGGCTGAGCACCCGGTCCCACAGATTAAAGCCCGTCAGCTTCCCCGAGAAAGCCAGGGCTTCGTCAAAGCCCCCTCCCACGCAGCAGCCGTTCTTCTCCTGGCCCAGCTGCAGGAGGCCGCCGTCGGCGATGCTGTGAGCCGCAGCCACGGCCGAGGCGCTGGCCACCAGCTCGCCCTGCGCCCACAGGGACGCAGAGCCATTCTCCGAGCTCCAGGTGCCACAGAGATGGAGCCATTTCCCGGGAATCACCACGTTCCTGGCGGACAGCGCGTGCTGGGCGCTSCCCACGGCGAGCACGGCGGCGTCGCGGCTCAGGTAGAGCTGGATCTCGTAGGGGTTGAATTTGGTGCCGTAGGAGAACACCACGGTCTTGTCCAGGGCCTCGGTCACCTTGAGCCACACGCAGGCGCTGAAGGAGCGCAGGGCCATCCCCACCGTGGGGTGAACGCTCCCGAAGATCTTCCTCGAGCGCATGGGGAACAGAAGCGCAGTTTCACACCCTGCAAAGGGGGAGAAGGCTGTCAGGTAAATAGGAATTGATTTATCTGTGTGTGCACATAGCATGGAATCAGCAAGGTTGGAAAAGGCCTCTGTGATGGCYGAGCTGRGGCTGCCCCTGGGAGTGCCCAAGGCCAGGCTGGACGRKGTTTGGAGCACCCTGGGATCGGGGAGGGTGTCCCTGCCATGGCAGGAGAGGGTGGAATGAGATGGGCTTTAGGATCCCTTCACCCCAAACCATTCTCTCATTCTGGGAAGTCCCACTGCCAGCCCAGCAGCACCGTTTTCAGCACTAAAGCAGCTCCCCAAGGGCCACATCCWCAMGTTTTGGARCYCTTCCAGGGAYGGTGGCTCCACCACTCTCCCTTGGCAGCTCGTCCCAGTGTTTGGCCCAATGCTCATTCCCCCAGGGGAGCTGAGAGCTCAGCTCATCCAGGGAGCTGCAGGAACCCACCCCTGAAGGGGCTGTCAGAGCTGATGGAGGAACTTGCTGGACATTTTGGGAAGGGCTGATGGGGCTGCAGGAACCTCTTGGCTCTTTCTCCCCTGCCCAAGCCGGGAATTGCACAGTCTGAGACCTGCAAAGGGATCTGCAGGGGTAATGCCTTTGAGCTCTTGGTCTAGCCTTGTGTTCTTTTTACATGTGGAGCAGTGAAAATACCRGCATTGTGCTGAGGGAAGGGTCAGGGACCCCTCCAACAGCAGCTTTGGGCATTCCTGGGATGGGGTGGGAGGCTGTGCCATGGGTAACGGGGCAGCAGGGCACAGGGGCTTCTGAAACGCAGGAAATGTTGGCAGCAACATGCTGAGATGGGCTTGCTCARTTAATTTACAATGACTCTGTTTCCTGGCCCTGCCTTTTGGGTTTTTTGGTCAGGAAGGGCCACTGGTCAAACAGGGAAATGTATAAGACAACTGCTACTTTTAAAGCCAGTTCTACCGTCCTGTCCAATTAATCAATGTGTTGATAATAGAAATTAGTTAAAACCACTCACAGGAATTTATGCAACTTGGGAGAGCAACTGGTGCTCACCAAAGCCAAGCCATTTTTGGTGGTTTGTGTGCTGTTCCCTGGTTGTTCCTAAGTGAATATCCAAGGTGACAGCAGGGAACAAGCAGCCCCTTCTCCAATTAAGCTGCTTCATTTCCTGTTTAAAGAAGCTGGAGGATCTGAAATGTCTAAAACGTGTGTGGAAATTCCTGCYGCAGGGAATGAAGGACTCTTTGTGCCCTCCAGGACTGAGCTGCTGTGGTATTTCATGGGCTGCTTCCTTCCAGCTTTGAGCAGATTTTACATCTCCCATTGACCCTTTTGAGGAGGGGTAGGGTCAGTGAGCAACTGCTGGGGATTCTCCTTAAAATGCTACTTAGGAGCACCATTGTGAAAAGGCTTTTAATTAGCAGGCTTTCAGGCTTTATTATCAAAGCCTAAACAAAATTAAAACCAGCCTCAGTGAAGAACAAAAAAGTGTGATTAGAAAATCCCTCAAGAATATGGCTGGCAGTAAGTCAAGATGTGAGAAATTAAAGTCAGTCACTAAAAATTCCCTTGGAAAAAAAAATCCAGAGAGATACTCTGGAARTACTTAAAATGTAGCCCTTAAATTAAAAAGTATGGTTGTTTTATAGAAAATCATGTAGGAAGCAGTGGAAATAAACTGCATTTCCACTGCTGCTCCTCAGTGCAGATCAAATTTTTGTTCTCACCTAGGGCAGAGCAGCTGCTCAGGCTGACAGGGTTGCAAGGAGATAAGGGATGAGCTCATGCTCTCTGGAAGGTTTGGGGTTGGGGAAAAGAGGAACGTGCTCAAAGATCTCCCAGTGCTCAAAGATAGCTGAGGTGCTGTGATAAAGGAGTGAAAACAATTCACTTCTAAAGCCKAGTCTGTGCCCTGCCTGGAAGGATGGCTCAGGTTGGGCTGGGAAGGCTTTGATGTAAATGATGTTGTGGCTGTGAGCTGTTGCCTTTGCTGCTCCTTTTGCTCCTGCTGTAAAAGTTCACCCTGGAGACGCTGCACCCGCACCTTCCTACGCACCCACCCTGCGGGTGTGGATTTTGGGGGGGTTTTAGGTCACAATACCTTTGATTTGTGGCAAACAGAGCCGTTCAGCAGCATCAGAAGGCAGGCAGTGCGAGCTCTCCGTGGGCAGGGCGGTTTCAATGTGGTTTATCTCCCACACCAAAATTAATTCTGCACCCACACTTTAAACAAATGAGGGGCTGCTCTGCCACTCCTGGGGTGCTGCTTCTTTGGGTGCCTCGTGTCACAGAAAAGCTRAGCTGGGATTTCAGGTATGAATTCACCTTTCTGTGGGCACCTCACCGACCAGGGCAAGTGTTTTGGAAGGGGGAAAGTTCCCCAAACCACAGCAGGACAGGTTACTGATTTCTCTGTGCCAGAGGCAATATTCTGTCCTGACCCTGCGTGCAGGGAATGTGCCCTCTGCCCTGGAAGTGTGCTTGGCTGGCAGCAGCACATCCTCTGCTCTCGGACCCTGGAACTGGTGAGGAGATGTTAATTTAGGGAGAGGAAGGAGTGGAACRTGCAGGGGAGCAGGAGAGCTCTGTGATGGATGTGAATGCACAGGAGRTCCCAGCTGGGAAGGCAGAGGTGAGAGAACATGATCTGGATGTCTCARATCCATTTGCTACTCTCTGGCAATGGCTTTGATGTGGGAGAGGCTGGAGGAGGTGGGATCCTGGCCGGCTGTGCCCTGCACAAGGACTTTGATGAAACTTCCCTTTGATCCCACCTTTGAAAGCTCGGGGCCTCCTTCTCTGGGGTTCCCCAGCCAAAGCTGCCCGGCTGCTCCCGGGGTTGGAGCTGTTGGGGAGGGGGTGCTCAGGAGGGGTTTGGGGGATCCCAAATCGCTGCCTCCCCCAGGTGAAACAGGCTGGACTTACCTGCGGGCAGCAGGCGCTGATCTGCCCATCGCTGCGCTGCCCTCAGCTCCGCCCGCGTCTGCTGCAGCTCCTGCCACACGGAGCTCAGGAGGGGACTGTCCCCTGCGCTGCCACCCAGCCCGTCCCGCTGCACAGCCGCCTCCTGCTGCTCGGCCCTGCTCCGCCAGGCGCTCTCCAGCCAGCCCAGCCTCGCCGACACGTTGTGGCTCAGCTGCAGGACGTGCTCCAGGATCTTGCCCTGCTCCAGCTCCCGCAGCCTCCGGGCTCCCTCCGCCTGCTCCCTGCTCCTCACCAGCGCCTGCTCCACCTGCGACACCACGTGCGAGGCGACAGTGGCCAAGGAGCCCGCCAGGCTGSTGGTGAGCTGGCTCAGCTCTGCCCTCAGGGTCTGCAGGTCCACCCTGGGGAGCTCCTCCAGAGCCTGCAGCATCATGTTCTCCTTCATCTGCGAGTTCTCCAGCATGATGAACAGCTTGTCCCACTTGCTGTGCTCCCGCTGGCAGTCGCACGAGGCAGCTGGAAGGGAACACACAGATGTTGCTGTTTCTCCYTACTGAGCTCCACACGGCAGTGCTTGGCAAAATCTGGCTCTGTGCAAGGTTTGTGTCCTCCAGACTGTCAGAGAATCATGGAATCACAGACTGGTTTGGGGAAGGACCTTCAAACAGTGCAGTCCCCATCCCCTGCCATGCTGGGACCAGTGCATTTCCCCCGATAGCAGAGCAGTGAAACTGAGATTCTAATTTAGAGATCCTAAACCTGCGGGACAGCAACAGCCTTTGGCAGGAAAACGCAGAAATAAAGGGTCTGAAGCACAGTCCAAGGCACCCCAGCKGAGGGCTTTACCATTATTGTCACAATAATCTACTGCCGCAAGCACGAACTGCTCCCTCTCTGCAAAAAGTAAATTGAGTTTGCAGTAACAGCYCTTACACGGGCTCGGCAGCAGCCAAAGCACTCCTGCACTAAACCCAAACGCAGTTTAAATCTGCTTACCTTCCTCAGGGCCGGGGGCTGCCCCTTCGATTTCGTTATCCAGGTTCACATAGAGGACGTGCTCGTAGTCATCGTCCTCATCCAGAACGGAGCCCGAAGCGCTGAACGCGCAGAGCAGCGCCAGCAGAGACAGCAATTCTTGGGGCAGCATTCTCCTGGCCGCTTGCTGCAAATGCCGGGGCTCTCTGGAGCTGCTGGGGCTGCGGCAGAGCCCGGACTGTGCGAGCGAAGCGCTGCGAGCCGCTAATAAATGCTGCGAGCGCCGCAGCCCGAATGAATGAGCGGCGCCGGTGCCAGCGCTGTAACCGGAGCGCTCCTGGCTGTTGCTTTTGGCTGCGAGGAGAAGGGGGCGTGCAGCTTGCTCAATCGCGGCTCCCAGGTTTGCCGGGGGGATGTTCTGACTGGCCGAAAGGGGAGAAGCGGGGAAAGCGGCGCTTCCCCCGGGACGATCGGGACGTGCAGCGCCGCCGGGGGCGGGAGCGCTCGGGCGGTTGCGGTGTTTGGTGTCAGTTGTGGAAAAGAAAGTGTTCCCTGCGAATTCAGCTCGTGGTCGGTGTGTGCCAGAGCTCTGGGGGGGATTGGTAGAAAAATAAACATACCTGGGAGTTGGCTTTGGGTCCACGTGTCTGGTTTAGCTAAACAGTGAAGCTTTTTTGGATGCTTAGGCATGGTTATATAATAAATTCTATTATATACCAACAGTTTATTGCGTTAAGCAATGAAGGAGGACTCTTAAGGAGTTCTTAGGAGCTTGTTAGGGTTCTGCTTTTCCAGCCCTAATTAGCACTTGCACCGCCATTACTCCGTGGGTAATCTGTTGGTGCTGTATCCTGTTTTGGGAACATGCAAATCAGCAGCTGCACCATCAGAGCTGTGTCTGCTGCCTTTGAAAAAGCAAAACAAGGTGCTTTTGGATGMGACATTAATTTAGTCTAAGTATTATTAGTATTAATCTGGTTTAAATTCCATAGTCTTACTGGTTCAACAAGACATTAATCATGTCAGAGATGCTTTGCTTAGGTGGGATTAGGGCTGATCTCATACAAGTTATAGATTGGCTATGAAATATCCAGAGAATAGTAAAAGAAACCCCTCCTGTAATTAWATCTGCCTTGGAATCCGTGTTCCCTTTCCATTTGTGTCTCTGGTTTATACAAACCTGCATTGCCTGTACCTGGGACACTGGGCAGGAATCCTTCCCTGGGAGGGTGGTGAGCCCTGGCACAGGGTGCCCAGAGCAGCTGGGGCTGATCCTGGATCCCTGGCAGTGCCCAAGGCCAGGCTGGACATTGGGGCTGGAGCAGCCTGGGACAGTGGGAGGTGTCCCTGCCATGGCAGAGGTGGCACTGGATGGGTTTTGATCGACTCAAACTCTTCTCTGAGTTGATGATGGGGGCTCCTGCCCCTGTGGGGCCTCCAGCTGCTCCCCTGGAGATAAAATAATAATAGCAAAATCAAAGCAATGCGTTAGGAACCTGGAAAGTTTGGTAAAGTAGAAATAACACTTTTTTCAGGAAGAATTCCTTCCTGGGAAGGGTGGTCAGGCACTGGAATGTGCTGCCCAGGGAGGTTTGGAGTCTCTGTCCCTGGAGGTGCCCAGGAAAGGCCTGGATGTGGCACTCAGGGCTGGGTGACAGGGTGGGGATGGGGGGATATCTGGGATCATTTACAGTGGGCACCCAGGTTCCTCCCTTAAAAGCCATTCCCTGTCAGTGAGGTCACTGCAGCCTGGCTGCAGAGCAGGGGGATTGCTCGGCACTGCTTTGCTTTTCATCTCTCCTGGCTGGGGAATATCCCCAGCAGTGCTTGCTGCAGGAGCTGCGCTCGCACAAAGTGGTTTTTGTTCCGAGCTCTGGTGGCTGCAGTCCATCCTGCTGGCTGATTGCATCACTCCTGATACACCCCACGTCCAAATGCTCGTCTGCCAGACTAAATAACTCCCCTTCCTATCTGTGACATCCCAGCTTAGGCAATAGCGTGGCTCAGGTTGGTGCCTTTCCTTGCTTAAAGCTGTTCTTTTTGTTAGTCCCTCTTGGATTCCTTCCCATCACATTTCTATAGCTGAGAGGAATTGTGCCTGTCCAGGAATACGGGAATTTCATCTTTTGCAATCATTGCTGAAATCTGACTGGAGTTCAAGGGCTCTGCTCCGTGTGGGCAGAAAACTTCCAGTGGAAACTAAGGAAAGGCAAGTACAAAGAAAGGACTCAGGGCTCAGTGCACARCATCATCTGGAGAGTAAATAATTTTTGGTGTGTTCAGTACAAAATGGTTCAGTTTTGAACAGTGACCTGCGTCTAGAACAGTTCCACTGAACACATCCTCTCACCTTTTTATCGTGGAGTATCGTGAGTTGGGAAGAACCCCCAGGATCACCCAGTCCCAGCCCAGCCCTGCCCAGACCCCCCAACAATCCCCTCTGTGCACCCCTGCAGCTCTGGCAGCCTCGGGGCTGGGACCATTCCCTGGGGAGCCTGGGCAGTGCCAGCACCCTCTGGGGACAGAAGAACCTTTCCCTGATCCCCAGATTCTTCCTGTGGGTGAATTGGTGCCTGGCATCAATCCCATGGAATGTTAGTGGTGATGCTTTTTATCCAGATCCACTGGTAACATCAGGAAGAGATTTACCCAGGGACAGTGGTTAGAAAATGGCCAGAATGGAGCAGTTTGCTCATCTTTTTAGGGTGATTCATCAGAAATCTCTTTCCTTTGCCCCTGGCCTCTGTGTAGAGCAGAAGGAGATAAATTTGCCGTGTTTGTGGGGGGAGGWGGGGTCTGAGCTGGCCTTTGGCTCTGCCGGGGCTCGGGGGAGCAGCCAGGGATGCTCCAGGCAGGATGAGGTGCAGAAGTGTGGCTGACCYGAGTGGAGAGACACTCCTGRAAGGGTAAGGAGCCCCCAGGGACCRTGGGGAGCTGTTGGGCTCAGAGCTGTCTGAACCTGCCTGAGTTATGAGCTCTGAGACCCGACCATGCCCTGGGGTGCATTTCTGTATCTGGCAGGAGCCCCACGTGCTCCAGTCTGAACCCAAATATCCTTCTCCTGCCTTCCACCGACAGATCTGCTTATCCTCCAAAATCATCCGGCTCAGATTGAAATGGGAGGAAAAGCAGCAGGCCAGAGTACTGATTCCTCTTGGAAACCAGATCCAAAGAGAGCGTGAGGACTTCCAAGGGGTTACAAAAAGGAGCCATACTAGGTTGCAACAGGCAGATGTTTTCCATATGTTGCTCGAGTGAAACTTAAATCCATTGAGGCAGGCATGTACTGCGATGTGGAGTTATATATTTTGGTATGAGCCTGGGCTTCAAATTGAATTATGCACAGACATCTTAAGAAAATGTGTGAGAGAGGCTTTAGCCTATCTCTGTCTGCCTGCAGTTGGCTCTCTCTGGCTCCTTTCTGTTCCTGGAAATGGCATCCTTAACTATTTCTGTTCAAATGCATGTTTAGTGCTCCTGTTAACCAACTTTCCTTCCGTGTGATGCTTCTTTAATTTGAAAATCTGAATCTCAGCAGAGGAGAATTATGGTTTTTGTGTTTTTTTTGTTTTTCTTTATTGGTTTTCTTTGTCATTTCTATATTGTTTCTCTCCTTCTTTCTCTCTTTTGTGTTTTTGTTGTTAATTGAAATCACACTTAGCTTGGCCTAGGACTCCACAGAGCATCATCCAAATCTGGAAGCCCATTAAGCAGCATTCTCATGATATTCAGAAATAAAATGATAATTAATGGGAATTTGTGGGTTTTTTTTACACAACGTTTTTACGCCTGCAATGATTCATTCTATTTTGGTAATTTATTTGTTTTCTTGGCCCAATATATAATTTTTAACAAGTTTTATAAGTTTTATGCCTCCCTGGTTTTGTGCTGATGATCCTTCAAGGCCRGGTTGGAGCAGCCTGGTCCAGGTCCGTGCCTGGGTGGGGACAGAACGAGATGAGCTCCGGGTCTGTGGCACCCAGAGCGTGCTGTGGCCGTTCCAAAGGGTGCTCTGGGGCTCCCCAGGCACAGGACACCATCTGACCRCTGTCCCTGTCCCTGCTGTGTCCCCAGGGAACTCGCTGCTGCTGCGGGTGCTGCCCGCGCTCTACGAGAAGCGGCCGCAGCCCATCGTGGCGCGCCTGCGGGACCTGGTGGCACCCACAGCCCCGAGGGACCCGGCAGAGCAGCACCACCTCCTCCGGCTCCTGCACATCGTGGCCAGGAACAGAGAACTCGGGGTGAGCCACGCTGCCCCTCCTTCCAGGGGTTTGTGTTTCGCAGGGTTTGGGGAGGGGGAGCCCCGCAACGTGCAGGGCAGTGCCCCCTGCACTGATTCCCCATCAGTTCTGTAATTCTGTTCCATTTTCTCCACCTGGACATAA